ACCCCCAAAAAAAAAAAAAAAATTAATGATAATGTCCAACCTGGGCAATGATGCTATCAAATCACTACTCTGACAATGTAAAATCGTACAACCTTGGCTAAGGGTATAGCTCACTGGTCAACAGTTTGCCTGCATGTGAGAGGCCCTGTATTTGAGATTCAGCACCCAAAAAAGGTACAATCTGGAAAAGAAAAGGAGCAATTTGCCAATTCTAAAAAATATTTGATAATTTCTCTTTTGGAATTAGCCTAAAGAAATCATTTAAAGTATATAAAATGCTATTAATGAAGTTTTTTTCTATTACATTACTTCTGACAACCTAAATAATAAAGGATCAACTAAACAATCTGATAGTAAGTGGAGAATGGAAAAAATGTAAGGACTATTCAGTTAACACACATTAAGACCTTAGGAATGGCAATGATTAGATAATATAGCAGTACTGAGAGAAGTAAAATTCTGCATGAAAAGCATACATACATACACTTTACTACAACAGTGAAAACATTTGACATACATACACTTTACTATGACAGTGAAAACATTTACAAGAACAGAGAAGACTGGTGAAAACATTTTGTGTTCAGATGGCAATGAACTTACATGTAATTTCCTAAAAGGAAAGTTTATCACTTGCACGAATAAAAATACTCCTGTGTGGGGGCTGGAGAGATGGCCCAGCAGTTAAGAACACTGGCTGCTCTTGCAGAGGACCAGGGTTCAGTTCCCAGCGCTGACATGGCAACTCAAAACTATCTGTAACTCCAGTTACAATGTCCTCTTCTGACCGTCTCGGGAATTGCAAGACACAGGTGCAAAACACTCAAACACGTTTTTTAAAATTCTTTTAAAATATGTCTACACATATAAATGTGTACATAAATATATGGCTCTTCAGTAAGAAAAAGTACTCTGAATCAAAATGGACATAATGCCAAAAAATAAAAAAAGTAAAATATAAACACCTATTAATTTGTTACTATTCTGCTTAATTATTCATTTCTTTGGTGGGGGGGCACCCTCCTGAGATAGAGGGGAACCCCCTAACCCTGGTGGGTACTAGACAGTTATTAAATTGATAAATCTGTTTAAATCAGTATTAATAAGTTCTTTAAACTCTTACTGTAGCAGGACACAGTAGTGTAGAGCTGTAATCCTAGCACTTGGAAGGCTGAGGCAGGAGGATTACCTGGGCTACATAGTAAGACCCTATCTCAAAAAAACAAAGTTCTTATTGTAAGCTCCTATAAACAAGGAGACAGTAGGGAACAGGTCAACCTGACTCCCCAAACAGCAGCTGTTGTACTATCACTTGCGGTCTGGAACAGGACTGTCAGCCAGCTTCACTCCCTTTACACAGCACCAGCTGTGACCGGGAAGTCTGCAATATGACTGACTACAGCCTGGTTTCCCCATTTCCCGAAGGCACAGCTTCTGCCAGGGCGGTCTGGGCTGTTTACTATCACAACTTTGACAAACTCTAAATTACCCTGCAACCATTTCCACCTAGGCCAGAGGGAAAGTACTTCCCCTGGTGACCTGACAGAGACTGCTGTGACTGGTGCCAGAGATCCAGGACTATGATGGCTCCCAGAACCCTTCTCTGGATATAAGCAGACTGCTCAGGCAGTCAATGTGTCAGCTAGGACCACTCTCCTGCCCTACCTCCCCTGCTGTTAAACCAAGCCTGGTAAAAGGCTTCTCTGGAGTGGTATTTCCTTGCCTCCTTTCAATAGCATAGGTTGACCTGGTTAACACTAAAGCCATCAGCAGAAACAGCAGAGGGGCAGCTACCAAGGCAGTAGAGCAGCAGCAGCTTTGACAGCTGAGCAGTCAAAGGGCCAAGCTGTAGAGGCAGTTAGCTGCTTGACAGCTGAGGTAGCAGTTCAAGAACAGTCAAGACAGGAAGAAGGTAGTAATGGAAAGTAAAAGGACAGCAAGAGAAGGCAGAGAGCTGAGACTGAGGATTAATAGCTGTAAAATTCCAGAGAAAAGAAACTGCAGGCCTTGGTTGCTAAGAGAGCTCCATAGAGCCCAAGGATCTCTGACCACAGGCCAACAGCTGTAACACTAGCCAGTGTTAAAAGCCAAGGAATCCCACCTTGCTAGGCCTACACAAACATTAGAGCACTAGCTCCTGTATAGGACTGAGGAATTCCAACCTCCTAGGCCTACACAGGAGCTACAACACTTGTTCAGCGAAGAGTCCTGATAAAGCATGGACAACCACAAGACTAGAGACACTACTCCCACCTGCCTACTGCTGCCAACCAAGAGAAACAAGCTGCCAAAATGCCTTTCAAGAGCTTCTTGCCTTCCACACAATTTGAGTAGTGCAAAAGGACCCCAGCAAGCTATCTGGTAGAATTTCCATATCATCTGTCTACAAGTCACTAAGACATTAGGGTTGGAGTGATGGCTTAGTAGGTAAAATACCTCCTGTGCAAGCATGAGAACTTGAGTTCAGATCCACAATAGACATGACAAATCAGACATGGCAACACATGCCTATAACTCTATAGGTGGTGGAGGCAGAGACAAGTGGATCCCCAGAGTTCAATGGCTAGCCATCCAGGAGTTCCAGGTTTATTTGGAGACCCTCATCAACCTCTGGCCCCAACTGGTAACTCACTCACTGGTAACTCATGCCTGTAATCCCAGTACTCAGGAGCTGTGGCACAAAGACTGCCCAGAGTTCAAGGCCAGCTTGGGCTACACGGTGCCAGGTCAACTAAGCCACAGCACATAGTGCGAAACTATGTCTCAATATAAATAATAAAACTAGGTAACTATTCACATGTTTTTTTTGTTGTTGTTGGGGTTTTTTTTTGGTCTTTTTGAAGCAGGGTCTCCCTGTAGCCCCATCTGTCTTGGGAATCACTATGTAGACCAGGCTAGGCTGCCCTTGAACTCACAGAGATCCGCCTGCCTCTGCCTCCCAAGTGCTGGGACTACACGCGTGCGCCACCACGCCCGGCTTCACATGAAATTTTTAAAGTGATACTAAACATTTTATGAATCACACTAGCCCACTGGTGTGGTGTCGCACACGTTTAATCCCAGCAAATGGATCTGTGAGATCAAGGCCAACCAGGTCTACAAAGCAAGTTCCTGGCCGGCTGCTGCTACAAGGAGACCCTGCCTCAAAAACAAACAAAACGATAAAAAATCACACCAGTCAGGTGTGGTGGCCCACGCACTCAGCACTCAGGAGGCAGAGGCAGGCGGATCTCCGTTGAGACAGAGGCCAATCTGGTCTACATATCGAGTTTCAGGGCATCTGGGGCTACAGGGAGACCCTGTCTCAAAATCAGAAGAAAGCACAGAACTGTGCTGCATGAACCAGTTTGTACTTCCCTTCATGGCGAAACAAAGTGAACTTGTGATGTGAACCCCAGCAGAGGTGACCCCCTCCCCAGAAGGGAACACGGCGAAGCCCACCGAACTAAGGCACACACTGCCAAAAGAAAAAGACATCCCCACCGACCCAGAGGAAGGCCTCGAGCAGGACCACGGACCGGCTGGGGTCTACCAGGTCCCATACCGAAGCCCCGCACGCGCGTGCGCCCAGGGCCCCGGCGATGGTGCGCGCCTAGCATTAAAAAAAAAAAAAACCTGGCCCGCGCAGGCGCAGCACGAACGCCGGGCGCCAGACCGCCGTGACCCCACAATCCGCGGGCGGGGAGGACTCGCCGCTTCCGGGGCGACGGCGCCCCAGACGCAGGCCTCGTGTGAGCGACGTGCGCCTAGGTCAGAACGGGTCCCGTCCCGTCGCGGCCTCCCTTCCCTCCGTGCCAGGCCCGGGGCGCTTTGCGCACCTTGACGCTCTGGTCGCTGGAGCAGGTGGCCATCCGGCGCCCGTGGAAGTCGAAAGAGACATCATGAATAAGGTCCTTATGGTCCGCCGCGATGCTGCGAGCCACAAACATGGCTTCCGCCGCCGCCTTCTGCCCCGCCCGCCTCCAAGAGGGCGGTGGTGTGGCCCACAGCCACCGGCCGGCCGCGGGGGCGCGTAAGGCACGTCGGCGCGCTACGCCCGCCGGACCCGCCCTGCGCGGGCGGAGCCTGCTTGGAGACCCAGCGGAGGGGCTCTGCGACTGCGGACTGGAGAAGTTGCAAAAGCGGAGCACCGGCCGGCCCCACTCGGTTCTTGTCCACATGGGGATGACTGCCAGCCGACACGTAAGGGGTGCACAGAGCGAGTGGAGACGTTGAGGTGCGGATCTGGACCGGGAACTCTGCTGAGCAGCTAAGGATGGAGACGCCACAAGAAATATGGCTTAGGGGTCCAGCTCCTTGAGCGCCAAGTGCCTGCACAAGTTGGACCTGAAGCAGTGGTCAGTGTTTAAAGATGTCACAAGTAGAACAGGCTCGAAAGTCAGCAGAACCAGAACTGGAATAAAGAAATAATAGAAATGAGATGGTGGTTCTGTACATTTAAGTCACCTAAGTGGATGGCAGGACCCAAAATGAGACTTGCATGGAGCCAGTCTTCAATGTAGAAGTCAATGAAACAAGCTAAAATAGTCTGCACAGGGGCCTGGAGAAATGGCTTAGTTGTTAAGAGCACCGGCCTGGGATTGGTTCCCACACTCACGTAGTGGCTAACAGTAGTTCAAGGGGATCCAACGTCCTCTTCTGGTTTCTGTGGGCGTTGCATGTGGCACACAGCGTACATGCAGGCAAAACACTTAAGACACAAAATAAAAATGACTAATTTTTTAAAAAACCAATAGAGAAGCAGGGAGTGGTGGATCTCTTGAGTTGAAGGCCAGCCTGGTATACATGGTGAGTTCCAGGACAGCTAGGGCTACAGGAAGACCCTGCTTCAAAAAGACAAAAACAAACAAACAAAAAAAAAAAAACGATAGAGAGAGGCCCAAGATGCAAAGTACCCAAATCAGGAGATTCGGTGAAACCCAAGAGATAACAATCTATAAAAGGTTACAGTTTTAAGTTTGGGGCTTTTTTGTTCTTTTCTTAAAGGCAGTCAAGAGGGTTTAAGTGTTAAAGTTATGTAAAACTTTACATAAGATATGGGAGATAGTGAAAGATTGGGTCAGGGGAGTGAATATACGGAAGACAGTTGGAAAATGAGCCAACAAGAAAGTGAGGCATGATAAAACAAATAAAAAAAAAAAA